TTATGGTATAGCAAACACAAGTATATCTGTTTTAGTCTAAGTGCCTTTTGTTTAGATGAACTGCTGGACTTCCAGACCAGCAGGTTTAGGGAAGTTGTTTATGGGGTCACATTTTTGTCCAGTCCTCTCCCTCATGCATGAGTAACACAAAGAACAGTGGTAACTTGTGTCTTGCTTTTGCTGTGTAGTAGAATTGTCTTGAATGTTCCAGCGAATAGGTTTATGCTATGAACCTATCAGAATACATTTTAAAAGTAACCTTCCCAACACTGGTTAACATACACAGTATTCCTCCTATACAACTGGACTTAACTCTGCACTGAGATAACTCATGGTCATTAGAAATACATTAAAAACACTTTTTTAAACACTTTGCTTTTCAGCCCCAGTGATGAACATCATTTGTATACAGTCTATATAATACCCTACACAGAAATTGTATGAAATGCACATTGGGTGTGATGGTTGCTTACATTAAAGTGTCCTTAAATATGTTAAATGCTTTCATAAAATATTATGTTTCTCCATGAATTTAAGAAGATCAGAACAAAATAAACACTGCTCACAGATACAGAGGATAACATGGACTTACAGGAAACAGCAAGATGTTAGTGATTAAAGATGGTTTCCTGGCAAAAGCCAGTCATAATTTGATAACAAAGACACCCACAGTACAGGCACATTATGCAACAGCAGCTCTGTACTGGATGAGTTACGACATATAGTCATGCAAAAAAAAATAATCATCCATTATTGCTATAAAGTCTGGTAAAAAACTAAGTGGACAACATAACCCCGAACAAGTAGACACCATAATCCACAACATTCACAAACACTAATTATCACCCATCCATCCATATTCTTCAACATATCCGGGACTGGGTCAAGAGGGCAGCAGCCTAAGCAGAGAAGCCCAGACCTCCCTCTCCCCAGCCACCTCCTCCAGCTTGTCCAGGGGGACACCAAGGTGTTCCCACCAATCTGTCTGTCGATCTCCGGCTCCCTTCTCCCATCACTCATGAACAAGACCTCGAAATACTTAAACTCTGCCACTTGGGGCAGGAACTCATCCCTGACCCAGAGTGGGCACTTCACCCTTTTCTGGCTGAGGACCATGGCCTCAGATTTGGAAGTGCTGATTCTCTTTCCCACTGCTTCACTTACGAACTGCAGTCTAGAGCGTCCTAGTGCCACGTGCACTTACACTTACACTGAATATCAGATGAATGAATATTTCATCATTGCCTTTACACTGTTGGCCTCAATAGGTTATACTTGACTAACTTTAGTTCTCGCTATGGTCCCCC